ATATATACAGTTTTGATAAAGAATATATTGACAGGGACTTCCCTGGTGGCACAGAGGCTAATAATATGCCTGCCAATGCAGGGGACACAGGTTCAAGACCTGGTCTGGGAAGATCCCACATGCTGCGGAGCAACTAACCTGTGTGCTACAACTACTGAGCCTATGCTCTAGAGCTGGTGAGCCACAACTACTGAGCCCACGTGCCACAACTGCTGAGCCCACGTGCCTAGAGCCAGGACTCCACAGCAAGAGAAGCCACCGCAATGAGAAGCCCGCATGCCACAACAAAGAGTAGCCCCCGCTCACCACAAGTAGAGAAAGCCCACACGCAGCAATGAAGACCCAATGCAGTCAAAAATAAATAAATAAATAAAATAAATTTATTTAAAATAAAGAATATATTAACAATACTTGTAATGATAACTTGATCCAGTAAAGTTTATTACTACTCAGAACTGTACAGGTACAAGAACCTCTTTTATAGTTTCGATTATCTTTAGTTTCAGTAATGTATGATAGAGTGACCTTTAAAGTATATTGAAGCATAAAATACCAGGATAAAATTATCTGGGGAATTAGAATGGAAATCCAAGATCAAGGAAAAACAAGAATGATGTAAGATTTCCAAATTGTAAAAGAAGACTTCATGTATGTTTTAAATAGATGATGGTAAGCAATAAATGACTGCAGTATTTACATTTCATTGGATACATTTTAAAAATCGTATTACAGTTTATTTTTTAAATGTCAGTATTTATAATACACTTTTTGTTATCTTACTGGTGAAGAGAAGTTTTAGAAATCAAGTATGTGTGAAGGGTTACATGCTTAATAAAATTCTTTTAGGGAATACAAGGAAAAAAGAGTTGAAGACCACAGGAATATGTAAGCCTTAGCTGAGAATTCTGAGAACATATTGTTTATGTTCTACAATAAATATTTTAAATGTATCTACTAATATTTTCAATTAAAAATCACAACAATAAAGTTTTGATAATACTTCAGATTTATTCTTCTATTCCAGAAGTTTAAACTACAATGGTGATTTTGCTTCATCCAAATGTGGATTTTTATACTTAGTCATTAGGCATTTGGCCAAAATATAGGCTTGGTATATATCCAAAAAGTATAATTATGCCTGTGAAAAGTAACATAGAGACTTCTTAAAAGTCATTTATTATTTATTGTAAATTAATTTATTCCATATTAAGCTGGCAGAGAATGAAGATATTTATGGCAGTGTGGGAGTGCAGGATGGAAGTGGAGAGAGCATAAAGTTTCTAACGAGAGAGGAAACCAAATTGAAGCAGAAGAGTTTTATATTCATTCAGCAAGCATTTACCAACTACCAAGGGCTCGCACAATGTATTATTACATTTTACTCTGACCTGGCATTATATCACTCATAGTCTATCATCATGATTGGGGGACTTCCCTGCTGGTCCAGTGGTAAAGAATCTGCCTTAGATTGCAGGCGACATGGGTTCGATGCCTAGTCAGGGAATTAAGATCCCACGGGGCAACTAAGCCTGCATGCCGCAACTACTGAGCTCTTGTGCCTCAACTAGAGCCTGTGTGCTGCAAACTACAGAGCCCACGCGCCCTGAAGCCCGCGCGCCACAACTAGAGAAGAGAAAACCTGCACACCACAGCTAGAGAGAAGCCCGCTCACCACAACAAAGAGCCCACATGCCTCAACGAAGATCCTGCGTGCTGCAGTTAAGACCCAACGCGGCCATAAAAAATAAATAATAAATAAATAAATATTATCATGATTGGCATTTTATTTATTTTTTAATTAATTTTTACTGGAGTATAGTTGATTTACAATGTTGTGTTAGTTTCATGTGCACAGCAAAGTGATTCAGTCATACATATACATATATCCACTCTTTTTTAGATTCTGTTCCCATATAGGTCATTATGGAGCACTGAGTAGAGTTCCCTGTGCTATATGGCAGGTTCTTATTAGTTATCTATTTTATATATAGTAGTGTGTGTATGTCAGTCCCAGTCTCCCAAATTATCCCTCCCCCACCCCTTAACCTTAAGTTTGTTTTCTACAGCTGTGACTCTATTTCTGTTTTGTAAGTTCGTTTGTACCATTTTTTTAGATTCCACATATAAGTGATATCGTATGATATTTGTCTTTCTCTGACTTACTTCACTCAGCATGACAATCTCTAGGTCTATCCATGTTGCTGCAAATGGCACGATTTATTTTTTTATGGCTAATACTCCATTGTATATATGTACCACATCTTCTTTATCCATTCCTCTGTTGATGGACATTTAGGTTGCTTCCATGTCCTGGCTATTGTAAATAGTGTAAATAGTGAATTTTAATATCTTACAAATCTGTAGTTTTATAGTTCACTAAGGACTGTCATGTACGGTATCTTCATTTCTCACTCTTTCAGATCATATACAAAAATGTATGTCAAGAACCAAATATACCTCATCCAGGGGAGTGCTTGTTTCTCCTCATATTGCATTTTATAGTTTAAACCAACATTTTATCAATAGTGATTCTAACATCCCATCTCCTTAGAAAAGCAAATAGGATGATGATCACTATTGATAAAATGTTTATATTTCTCACAGTAAAATAAATAAGAATGTTCATCACATAAATATTATTTCCTTAGAGGATAAAATAAATTTATTGACTTTATATTCTGATGTTAAATGAACTAAGAAACTATAAAAATGCATTACATGGGTTCATTTTCTTTATAAACAAACAAATATAAGGATAGTTGTAAAAAGCAAAAGCTAAGCTTTTAAACAAAGGAGAGATTATCTTCATACTTTGTTTAAAATCTGTGATAAATTTTATTTCTTTGTTTCATTAAATAACTGTATTGGATGAAGCTTGGGAGAATATGTGATGCTCCCTGGTCTACCAAGAAGAGATTTGGGATATGTATTTACATAAATAGCTCTTGTTAAAAAAGAAAAAGATCAAGAGTATTGATTGATTTCATCAAATCATGTCATTTACTTTGTTTTTTCTTAAAGATATTTAACGTGTTGATTAATAACCAGAGCTAATGTAGCCTCAACATACTATTTTTCAGGCACTTAGAAAATTTGAGCAAGTGGATGAACGTGATCTGCAATTGATTTTTTTATACTGGAAGTAGTTAATATGTTACAAAAATAAATGGTTAGCCATTTACTTTTACTGCCCATTAGGCAAAATAAAAACCAGTGATTCTGGAACAAGGACAGAGTTCAAGGAATCAAGGACTCAAGAGCCCCATTCTTTCCTATTCTTCTCTACACCATGAGGGGATGTCAGCTGCCTAATCCAGTCTTGATTCTGCTTTCCTTGCTCCTTCCCAGAGATGCTTCAGCTACCTCCAAACCGTAAGCAACATTTCCAGAAAAGTCTATTGCCCTCCTCTTCCCATTGTGTTATCAGCTTCTTGATGTCTGTCTTTTTATTTATTTCCTGATTCCTTCTGAAATTATCTGTTGTTGAAAAAGCTCAGAAGTGTTGATAAATTGTTAGTGCACAGGTGGTAAAAGGCATACTCCAGTTCTAGAAAACTCAGCGATATAGGGTAGTAACATTTGTGAAACATTTACCAAATAAGATGATAGAATTCTGCAACATTCATCAAATAAGAATATAGAATTCCTACCAAAAAAAGATAAATTCTTTTTTGACTGGTGCAAAAGGCTGCAGTGTCTTGGCCATTGTAAAGTGACTCAGTGTCTGTATCTTCCCCAAGCAGGTATTCCCAAGATGGATGCATGACTTACAGACAAGCCAGGGTTTGTGTGTCATTTCACTCAATCCTTCAGCAAAACTTTAAGGGCTGGCATTAGATTTGAGAATATACAGATTAACAAAATGTGGCCCCTGCCCTTAGTACCTCATAGTATAAAAGAGAGAGAGAGAGAGAGATGGTGCACAGCGAATGAAATAAAATGCAAAAACAGAACCAGGCATTGTAGGATTCTGTGAGAATACTCAGAGATAACCTAACTCTTCATGGGAACTGATACAAGGGAAGAGGCATCACCAAAGTCCACATAAGAAAGTTGCTTTTGAGATGAGTCTTATGAAGCCAATAGAAGTTTTCCAGCTAGACCAGGACACTTCAGAAAGAGAGAGAGTCATGGGCCAGCAGAACATCACAAAGTGCAGCACATTTAGGTGATTGTAAACGATGGGCAAACCGCAACAGGAGAATATTTTCTTCTGCATGTATATGGTAATATGTCTGATGATTAGCCTAGTTTTTCTTCTCTCTAGAGAGTGGAAGAAAGAAAAGAGCTAAGGTTGCTTCTGAAACAGTAGTGAAAAACGATTCAGCTCCTCTCCACGTATTATCGTTCTCTCTCAATGTTTCCTGGAACAAAGAGGTTTGTGATATCATCCATTGAAACCCAAGACCACATGTGGATAGGTTTTCTTACTGGTTTCAATGATCATTAACTGATTAATAATATTGTTTGTTACTAAAAAAAATTTAAAGTTTTTTTGGGGTTTATTTACATATAACTGAGAATTAAACTTGTAAGAGATTTAAAGTGTACACACATATATATTGTGAAAGGATTCTCCCCATTGAGTTTAATTAATCTATCACATAGATTAATCTAACGAATAACACATCTATCTCTCAAATATTTATTTGGGGGGGTGAGAACACTTAAGTTCTGTTCTCATAGCAAATTTCAATTATATAATTTCAATTATACAATGTTATCAACTATAGTCACCATGTTATATAGTACATCCTCAGACAGAACTTATTCAACTTATAAATGAAAGTTTGTGTCCTTTTACTAACCTATCCCTATTTTCCTCCATCTCCCATTCCCTGGTAACCATTTTTCTACTCTATGTCTCTGAGTTTGACTTTTTTTTAAAGACTCCGCATGCTGTAAGAGATACCATCAGTATTTGTCTTTCTCTATCTGGTTCATTTCACTTAGCATAATGCCCTCAAGGCCCATTCATGTTGTCATGAACAGCAGGGTTTCTGAATAATATTTGTGTCTGTGCGTGTGTGCGTGCGCATGCGTGTGTATGATCACATTTACTTGATTCATTGAAAATTTCTAAATTTGAAAATTATTTCTATACAAAATATATAACAACTCATGGAGTGCTTATCCATAACTTATGAATAGGTTTACTAGTATCGAGAGTGAATATTTCCACAGTATAGGAGAAGCATACTGATGTTTAACTTGGCAGGGGCTTTCTGAGTTTCTAAGGCCTTCTGGATTGGTCTTTGAAGAATATACTCCTCTCCACTCCTGTTGAAATCTGGCTCTGCTGTCTGATTGGTGACGATAGCAAAGATCATCTAGAAAACAACCACAGTAATGATGTCTTTTTAACTCTTCCATGGTTGACCCAGACCCCTCTTCTCCGCAGGCAGTACCTGGTCCTGGTCCCATCACAGCTGTATGCTGGGGTTACCGAGAAGGCCTGTGTCGTGCTTAATCACCTGAATGAGACAGTGGAACTGACAGTAACTCTGGAGTATGAGATGCAGAGCAGGAATCTCCTCACAGACCTGGGGGCGAAGCACTCCTTCTACTGCAGCTCCTTCATGGTCAGTATCCCTCCTTGGGAAAAGGGAGAGCATTCAAGAGAGAGCATGTTAGTCGATGCCTTGCATCCTGACCCCCAACAATAAAAAAGCAAAAGGAAGAAAAAAATGAGGAGTACAGAGCAAATTTCAAATTAGAGTCTAAAAATAAAAGTTCTACTGAATAAACTTACATAATATTTACAAACAGAACTGGTGCAACATACAAAAGATAATAATGGTTATAGGAAGGACTTCTATAACCATTATTATCTTTGCTCTTAAAGTAAACTTCTAAGGAAAATAATGTTCATGCCATTACAGATATAAACACATAGATTCATAAAGTTAAGTGACTTCTGTATGATCTCGCAGATGGTTGATGGTTAATGTATTGTCCTTGTAACCTTTAATTAACTTAAAGTATTAAATAGTTAATCATACCAGCTTACTGCCAACAATAATATGTAATGCTATTTTGACCGTTGAAAAATAAAATTTAATAATTATTTTAATACTACCATATTGCTGTGAAAATGTGAGCTTGTTATTGCCTTCATTGTCATAACTGGTTGAAGAATTAGTTCATTTTATTGCAATGACATTTTTCCTTTAGTCAAATCAACAATTCGTTGCTGTCATGTTACACGATCATAATAATCTATAAAAAGAGGGGGCATCACCTTTGACCCTGTCCCTTACTAATTTTCACGGGACTAACCAGAGAAATGAGAAAATCACAAAGGCTGAGACATTCAGAAGTGGATCTGGGCAGATTCTTCAGCTCATTTCGTTTTTACAGATTCCGGAGTCATCATCTTCCTCAGCGTTCATCACTGTGCAGGTGAAAGGGCCGACCCAGCACTTCATAAAGAGGAAGTGGATTCACATAACAAAAGCAGAAAGCCTTGTCTTTGTTCAGACAGACAAACCCATCTACAAACCAGGACAAACAGGTATAAAGAACCAAATGAGCAAAAGCAATTTGAAGGGTTGGAAGTGTGGTTCTCTATTAACTTATGGAAATCCTTGCACGTTGTTATCTGTCTTACCACCCTGAGTTCCCACTGGAGGGTTTCATGAGAAAAATCTCTGTGTTTCAGTGAGATTCCGCATTGTCTCTGTGGATGTCAATTTTCACCCTTTGAATGAAATGGTGAGTGTCACAACAGTGGGTAAGATTGGCAGAAACAGGCAAAATTGTAAAACCTATTCTTTCGGAGAACCGAGACCAATATGAGATTCTTAAATCTATCACAGAAAGATCTCAAAAGTGTATCGCTGCTGGAGAATAAGGGAGATCAGTTCATCAACTACATTTTTTAAACAAATTAAATATTCAGTTAAAATTATGCCCTTAAAGACTCAATTATTTTCATTGAACTGAAGAAAATAAGTGCATTTCACTTCTCTCCTAGAGAAATGGAGAATTTCTCAGAGATAAACGTCGTCTGCAAAATAAACTATTATTAGGACCTTTTTACCTAAATGTAGGTTTCTCAATTGTACATTATTTCATTAAAGGGAAGTCATGACTTCTTAAGAGGCATATGTCCCAAACTAAACATATAAAGTATTGTGAATGAAATGGAGCCACATCTCCTCATTTGGACAAGAAATGAACAGGCTTACTTCCTCTGGTCCCGATACTGTATTAATGCTAATGTCATGGTGTTCTCTTTCTAAACTCTATCTCACACTCATACTCTTCCTTTCTTTTCAGTTCCCAGTGGTTTATATTGAGGTAGGTAATGTATTGTGTATCTCGGTTGGGATGAGGACTCACTGCCAGTTGTGTTAACTTGCCTCGCTCCACCTCCACCTTCCCCACCGGCAGTTCACCAAAACTAAATAAAACACTTGTTTTCCCTCTCTCTTAAATCCTGGGGAGAGTAGATAAGATGTAAATGAAGGAACAAAATTCCCTGAGATGATGCAAGTTAGTGGCTCTTCCAATATTTCTAAACAAGATGGGTATGCATAATCTCAAAAAGAGGTGCTATCAGCTGTCATATCGCATAGCTGGGAAAGATGTCCTTTGCTCAGTCTAGAATTCCTAGAAACCTTTGCTAATACCTCTGGTGCCAATTTACCAATCAGCTAACTGTCCACCTCCCAATGTCACTCTCCCTGAAAAGCTGTTCCTCTACTCAAAATTATATATTTCAGTTGCTTCTATGAACTTGTGATGTTTTTACCTATAGAATCCCAAGAAGAACCGGATTTTCCAATGGCACAGTGTCAATTTGCACTGGGGACTCAAGCAGCTCTCTTTCCCACTCTCTGTGGAGCCCACGCTGGGTCCCTACAAGGTCATACTGCAGAAGGAGTCAGGGGAAAAAATAGAGCACTCTTTCGAGGTGAATGAATATGGTAAGAATTCTGCATGTGTCCAAGATATTTATGACATTAGAGAATGAAAGATTGGATCATTTTTACATGTAGGTGACAAGCAAAAATCTAGCATGTAATAGTTGAAAATCAGCAAGGCTTTTTATTTATTTAAATATTTGCTAAGCACGTTTCATGCACTATCTCATTTAATCCTTAAAGTAGCCCTCTGAAGCAGATCCTATACCTTCTCCAGTTTACAAACGAACATATTAATACTAGAAAAGTTACTAATTTACCAAAATCACAGAGCCAACAAGAAGCAAGAGAAATTTTAATAGTTCCATCTGACCCTATTCAAACATCAATTGTTAACCAATACATTATGTTATCTACATGCATCTCTTGATCTATATCTTATAACAGGAGGTATTTCCTGGGATTACAACCTGGCTTTGTGTGACCTACATGTAATCTACTCTAATAATAGTAATCAGACCTTGAAACCATCTTATTAGTTATCAGTTATGCGGATTTTCTAACTTAAGTTAAATACATCATGCCATGGATAAGGAGACCTATCACAAAAACAGGATTCTCAAAACTCACCAGAACTGCCATGAGAATTATAGAACAGGGATTCATTATAGAAATAACAAGCCTTATACACAACTGTGAGAGAGGCTGGAAAAGTCAGAGTCCAACAGGAGGAGATAGTAGATCAGAGGAAATTACTAACCAGTCCTCCTGAAGCATTGGTGGGGATGGACAGATCAGAACTCACAAGGGCACCTTCAGATGCCAGAGTGGAACACGAAGGGAAACTGACAGGAGAATCAATGGAAGACTGTTACCTCTCCCTACCTACCACTCCAGTATTTCTATAACCAGGTGCTGATGGTGGGCCTAGGGTCTCTGTGAGTCAGCAGGGTTTAGAAGTTGGGAGGAAGAGAGCTGGACACAGAGAGGGAAAAAATAAGGACAAACTGGAAACTGCTGGCCCCTCTGTACCTGTAACTGCGTCTAACCATGGGGATCTTCAGAGATTAATGATGCTACTTTCCTCCCACCTTTGAAATCTTGGACAAATTCAGAGAAGGAGATTCTAGGAACCATAATACCAGCTTAACCAAGTTAACATGGTACCAACTGCCCATGGTTATGACGGCATCTCCTTTGCCAATAGTGGCCCTGCTGCCCCTTATTGTAATTGAAATCACTTTATGTGACCCTTTGTTACAAGGTTCTGTAGCAGAATCATTACTAATGCTTACAGGACCTCCTGCCCACTCTCACCATTTTTTTTCTCTTTTGTTGATAACAGTTTTGCCCAAATTTGAAGTCCAAGTGAAAATGCCTAAGACTATTGGTTTTCTAGATGATGAATTTGTGGTATCCGTCTGCAGTCTGTGAGTTACATTTTTTTCACCTCATTTCTTTTTCCCTACTTTATTTGTATTGCCCATAATGATCACTGGACTTTGAAGTATTTTAATTAGCGAAGGAATGACTCTCTCCCCAACTTGTCTGAACTCAGACTAGGGAGCAGGGGTGGTGGCATACAACACTTCTACTGCTAATAATAAAAATTATTAACTGAGCATTTAAAATGTGCCAGGCAATGTTTTAAGTGCCTTGCACTTATTTACATTTTTTTCTTACACTAACCCTATGAGAAGGGGATAATTATCCTCATTTTACAAATGAGGAAACTGCAACACTTAAAGGATAAAATAACTTGTTCAAGTTCCTACAGACAGTAAATTCCAGAAGACTGGAATTTAAATCCAACAGTCCACTCCAGACCCTGAACTCTTCACCACTATTCTATATTGCCTCTGAAAGTAAAAAAAAAAAAAATTCTAGCTTCATGAAGCATTTCTATATTTCTATATCCCAGACACTGGTTTAAATTGAACCTGGGTCATCCAACTCTGGAGCCCATGCTCATAGATTCCATGTTATTCCATGTCCTATTATCTCCATTTTTTTATAGTTCCCAATTTCTTAAACTATGGAAAGCTAGAAAGAAGCTCAGTAGACCCTCTATCTTAAAGGCTGGATATATAAGGTAGAATTAAAACTACATGTCATTTATTTCTTCCCTGATTACCTTTTAGTGCAGTAGAGTACCCCCTACATGCACCAAGGAGGTTGATTGTACTTCTTGCTTCTAAAAACAGCATGTAAAACATGTTTTCATTCTTCTCACCAGCTCTGATGCTATAAATTTTTCCATCAAAGGGAAAGGCTTTTGATTCAGATTTAAAGATAAGATTCAACAAAGTGATTAAATTTAGTAAATAATTTATTACTTTATCAGCACTTTTTTTTGGAGGGGGAAACTATAAAAAGAGGAAGCTTGGGGCTTCACAGTTTGGGCAATAAGTCTCTAATCTAAGTCTGCATCAGAATCTATGGACGTTCTTAGTTAAAATGTAGATTCCTCAGCTCCACCTCTAGAGATTCCAGTCATAAATCTGAGGAAGGATTTGGGACTCTGACTATCACTGCATATCTCAGGGAATTTCAATGTGGGTGGTCCATGAAGCATACTTTAAGAAACAATAGACTAAGTTCAGCTTCACATCATGTCTTAGTCTGTTCAGGCTGCCATAACAAAATACCACAGACTGGGGAGCTTATTAACAACAGAAATTTATTGTTCACAGTTCTAGAGGCAGGTAAATCCAAGATCAAGATGCC